ATAACAGACCTGAACCTTACCTTCTCCTGTGCCATCCTCATCGTCTCTTACCAACCTGAGCCCACTGGCACAGTCACATACAGTCACTGTGTTGCTGAAGGCCCTCCCTTCCCTTGCTGACCCTCCGCTTTTCAAGCATGCCTCCTTTCCCAGGTCCTGGCTTCTCCTAACAGCAAGATCACAGTATATGAGATGAAGTTTCACCTTCCTTGCCTCCAGAAAACACTCAGATTGTACTTTCTCCAAAATGTATTTGTTCTTTTGGCTGCCATAGAGCTGACCCTTCCGTGGATTTTCAAAAGCAGTAAATCGCACAGGAGGAGATTTCCCATTCTTCTCCCAAGGAGCAGCTGGTGGATTTGAACCACATGCCTTTGAGACTGAAGCGCAGTTTTTTACCACTTGGTCTCCAGAACTCCTACGGATGGCCAAAGAGTTCTTTTTGCAGTTCATAGATACTCAGTACTCAATACTGCAATTCAAAGACAACAGTTCTCTTTTGGCATCCTTATTCATTGCTCAGGTTTCAAATACATAACAAGTAATTGAAAAGATTGTGGCTTTGATCAGGCTCAACTTGGTCTTTAAACTAAATTTGTTGCTGTTAGCACCTTGCAGAGGTTCAGGACAGCAAATTTTCCTAATGCAATACATCTTTAAATTTTTTTTTTCTTTTCTGCTGGTACCAACGATGTTAATTGTGATCTAAGAAAGAAAAAAGTGGATCTAAGAAAGGTAAAAATCCATTTTGTCTATAAACTATAAATTAAATATAAATTATAATATAAATTTTATTCAGTCACCTTTTGGAGTGTATCGGAGAGAGTGTAATTGGAATAGGCGCAGTTCCTGACCAGCTTACTAAAAGCCATTTAGCTCCCTGGATAACGCTAACGATTTAAGCCCTAGAGTGCTGACCTGAAGTTTGGCAGTTCAGGCCACCTAGAGATGTCTTTAAAGACAAGCCTGGCCATCTCCTTCTGAAAGGTGACAGCCTGGGAAACTCTGCAAGGCTCACCCAGGGTCAGCAGGTCAGAAGCAAATAGTTCAGGATTCAAATTCCAGCTTTTTTCCCTGGAGCCCTGGTGATGCAGCGCTTACGTACTCCGCTGCTAAACGAAAAAACTCAGCAGGTCAAACCACTCAGATGCTTCTCGGAGCGAGATGAAGGGTTCCGGTCATGGGCCCTGCGGAAGGCTGGTTCTGCTCCTTTGTTTGGGGCCGCTTTGAGCCGCACTGACTTGACACTGAAGGCAGTGAGTTTGGGGGTGGTTTCTGGTTAATTTCTTCACTCCTCTGTGAAACAGATAAAATTGGTTCACCTAATGACATTTTTAAGAATAAATTAGAATGTTTAGTGAAAAGCTCTCTGTCATAGAGAAAATTCTCAGTGAGTAATAGCTCTCCTCTTCCTAAACAACATGCCTCTGGAAACTATGAACTTTGAGAAATGATGAGAGTTCTAGAAAGGCTTCAGGTCTTTTGTTCATAGGGTCCTGAGTTGTGCTCAACTTGATGGCAATCAACAATAACACAACAGCTGTAATTAGTGTCGTCATTATCATAATTGAAAAGCATATTCTGTTGTGCTGAGCACTGTTTAAGCTGAGTCTTTAGACTGGAGAATGGAAGGCTTCATTCTCATGACTAACTGGCGACACCTGAAATACAGGTTTGTTTCTATATTAAGCAATGTGGTGGTTTTAAGTTGAACAGTGAGATGCTGTTTGTGTCCCCACCAGAAGTCTTTCTTTTCCTTCTTCCAGTGTTTCCTCACATCTCACACACTGAGTCCCTGCCTGGGCTTCCAGGTTGCACCCTTTCCCTGTGTCCAAATACCTGCGCTGTGTCTCCTTTACTTTCTAATCCAGATGTCAGTGCGCGCTCAGTAAAGTTAGAGAGGAGCAGTCAAGTATTGATTTTAGTAATTTGTACTCGTCGGTAACTAGCTATGAGATTTCATTTTGATTGGCATTTTAAAAGAGTTGTTGTTTTCTGAATTAAAGAGCCTGTCTTTGGTCTTTGAGAAGAGTGTTGGTGGGGGGGAGCCGTAGAGCTGCCCCTAGCCTATGAAGTCCTGAGTTGCTTTAGCCATTTGTCCTTGATGGGCCCTCACATTGTTTCCAGCTCTTTGCTATTGCTAATCAAGCTGCATTAAACACCTTGTATGACAGTTTGTTTGCAGCTCTTACTTCTTTGGGATACATACCTACTTGTGGGATTACTGGATCAAATAGTATTTCTATTCCCAACTCTCAAAGGAAGCGCCAAACTACTTTCTGTAGTGGTCACATTTTACATTCCCACCAGCAGGAGAGTTCCAGTTCTCCACACCCTCACTAGCATTTGCTGTTTGATGTCTTAATTGAAAATTGCTATTTTTTTATTATACTAGTTTATTTACAAAATTAGAATACATTGTTTTTAGACCAAATTCTTCCAGTTTCCCCTCACCCTCCCACCCATCCCTCTGCTTCCACCCTCCCCCTCCTTGGAGCCTCATACTTACTCTACAATAATAGTTTTATATAATATTTGTCCTTATGGGACTGAGTGAGTTCACGCAGCACAATGCGCTCCAGTCCCTCCCAAGTTAGGTAATAATCTACAAAATTATTGCTCCTATGTGCTGCGTAATATTCCATGGTGTGAAATAATTTCTCAATCCATTTAATTGTGGTTGGACATCTAGGCTGTTTCCATGTTCTTGCGATGGTGAATAATGCTGCTATGAACACTGGTATACAAATCTCCATTTATGCCTCAGTTCTCATTTTCTCAGGGTATATTCCAAGCAGTTAGGAATAGCTAGGTCATAGGGAATTTCTATGTTCAGCTTTTTGAGGAAGTACCAAACTGCCAACTGCCTTCCAGAGTGGTTGGACCAGAACATTGCTATTTTTGCTGGAATGAGATGATACCCCATTGTTGTTTTATTTGCATCTCTCTAATAGTTAATCTCGAGCATTTCTCCCTGTGTTTCTTGGCCATCTGTAGGACTTCTTCAGTGAAGTGTCTGTTCATGTTCTGTACCCATTGTGTAATGGGTTATCTTTTTCCCATTGAAGTATTGGGGATTTCTATAATTTTAGAGATGAGTTTTGAGGTATAAGGTGATTTCATGGAAGTTAGCTGAGATGAGGGAAGAGATACCAGGTTCCATGAAGACCACCCAGGACAGGGCCCCTCTAAATGCTTTTGTTGTTGTTAGCTGCCATGTACTGGGTTCTGACTCACAGTAACAAATCCCTGTACTACAGAACACAGAGCGCCCCGTCCTGGGCCGTCCTCAGTCAGGACGTCTGTGAACTCACTGCTGTCGTCAGTGGGCTGGTCCACCTCACCGAGGGCCTTCCTCCTCATCACTGACTGTCTGTGCGGTCCCACTCATGGTGCCCATGGACATTCCCAGGTCCTGCGCCGTCCTCACCGCAGTCATGGTGTTTGAGCCCGTTGTTACTGCCCCGTAGCAGTCCACCTCACTGAGGACCTTCTCCTCTCTCACTGACGCTCCACTTTACCAGAAGCAGGTGTCCTCCAGGGGCTTGCTCCTCCTGACAGCACGTCGGAAGTATTCCTTACAGGTCCTAAACTAAAGCACATAATTCAAAATCACAAGCTTGGGTCATGACCAGAGAGGCCTTGTCAGGGCTGGGTCTTAACTTTCAGAGAGTCCTTCCTCTTCATTTCCACATTCTCATCCCTGTAACGGTCACAGCTTCCTGTCCTTATGTTTATTTAAAAAGAGCCAAGAGATTGAGATTGTTCACAGCTTCAGTTTGCTCAGCTCCACAGTCAACTTTCTTGGCCACCAGTAGCCAGGAAATTAGAAGACGTATTGCCATGGGAAAGTCTGCTGTTAGGGACCTCTCCAAAGTACTGAAGAGCAATGGTATCTCTCTGGAGACTAAGGTGCATCTGATACAGGCCATGGTCTTTGCTGTCACTTGTTAATGCATCAGGGAGTTAGACAATGACCAAGGAGGATAGAAGGAGAATTGATGCCTTTGAGCTGTGGTGCTGGAGAAGAGTATTGAATGTACCATGGACTGCCAAGAAAACAAACAGATTCATCCTGGAAAGGGTCAAACCAGGCTGCTCCTTGGAGGCAAGGATTCTAAGGCTCCGTCTAACATACGTTGGACATGTTGCAAGGAGGGACAGGTCCTCGGAGAGGGACATCATGCATGGTAGGGTGGAGGGACAGTGCAGAAGGGGAAGGCGCCCCCTATGAGGTGGATTGATTCAATGATTGGGGTAATCGGAGACAGTGCGATTGGCACAGGACAGAGCAGAGTTTAGGGCTGTTGTACATAGGGTCACTATGAGTCGCAAACGACTTGACGGCACATGACGACAACAACATCCCTGTAACAGTCACAGCTTCCTTTCTGTATGTTTATTTAAAAAGAGCCAAGAGCGCGGAGGGCTCAGGAGTCTGTGCGGCTGGGCCAGTGCGTCACGGGCTTTTCCGCCTCCGTGCTGTGTGCTCCGTCCCACTCGCTGTGCTCCGCGGCAGCCCACTTGCACCCTCCAAGGTGGGGATGGTAATTGTCCGTCTCAGTGTAGCAAATTCAGCTCTTCCTTCCCAGCAGGGAAAATGAGATTTGAAGAGTCACTGGACATTTTTGTGTTTCTGCTGATGCTTGCTTCACATGCTGACTGTTCTTGTCAACTCAGCTATCTTTGAGAAGATTATTGGAGATGGCGGCCCCATTTCAGAGTTAATGCTCGTATATGTGGATCAAAGCGTGATCCAGTTTGGTGAATGAAATAAGAGAGCAACTGTTACGTGACTAGGACTAAGTTTTAGATCCTGTCGTTTCACCACCTTCCTCTTTATTTACATAATAAATAGAACCTATTTTCAGAAATTGTTCAAATAATTAAACATAAAATGATTTAAATTTAACTTTGCTTAACCATAATTTAGATCTTAAAGTGCTTCTTTGGTGAATCTTCTGTGTAATGTACCTTACTCTGTTTTATTTTCCCAGCAGAAATTCAAGAAGTTAAAGCTCCCAGCCCCTCTATAAACCGGCAAACTAGCATCGAGACGGATAGAGTATCCAAGGAGTTCATAGAATTCCTTAAGACCTACCAAAAGACGGGCCAAGAGATCTATAAGCAGACCAAGATGTTTTTGGAATCAATGCATTACAAAAGGGTAGGTTGAGAATAACCACGTAGAAATGTACATGTACACTCTCCTTTGTAGGCATCGTGTTAGAGAAAGCCTAATGCAGCTCTGTCATCTTATACCACGACAATCGAGAAAGACCCAGAGATGCTCCGTTACTCATCCCCAGCACACTGGGCCAGGTTCAAACTTGACTCCTGACGCAGTACTTTTCCACTGCAGCTCAGTGGTATGTGGATCATCTTTGTGTGGAAAGTTTGGCATTGAGGCCTCTTGGGCTGTGAGCTTGAGTAACAGGCTGTGACCCTGTAAGATCTCCCACAAAGAGAACAGAGTAGGTTTGTAATGTTAAGGCACACTAAATTAACAGCAATGATTTTAGGCTTCTGTTTTATTTCTCTCTCTCTCTCTCTCTGTGGTTTGTTTTTTTTTTATTGTATTATTTTTACGTGTACCATCAAATCAGATCTGACTGGTACAGGAGGAGATTGCTCCCTCCTTCTCCAGCAGAGCATCTGGTGGATTTGAACCGTGTACCTCTGGGATTGCAGTTTGTTGTTTTTTTTTTGGTGTGTGTGTGTTTTGATTGTTCATTTTTCTCTCCTTGCCCAGTGAGAGAAGGGAAAGACAGAAATTAGAGGTGAAAGTGATCTGGGCAGCTCTCTGGCTTCACCGCCTTATTTTATGGAGGTGGCAGCTGATGGCCAGGAGGGCAAGTAACCGTCCAAGTCACGTGGGCAGACTTCACCAGCCCAGAGCTGGCATGGTGCTTCCCCACTTCTGCCTCTTCTAGCCACGTGCATTCTGTTTCAGTCTCTCCGATGAGAGAGGGCCCACACAGGACTCTGTCAGCAGTGATTCATTCTCTCATAACTCGCTCCAGTCATATACTCAGAATTACCCCTGAAGTTCTTTCTGGGACATGAGGAAGTCTTAGAGAGGAAGGAGAAGGGAATTAGAAAAATAGCTGCATGATGAACTGCTTAGCCATGTTCCTGCTGTAGCCAGGGATCACTGGGCTATCGAGCAACATGGGTTTCTGCTAAAATACTGTTTTCTTGTTGAATTCCATTAGCAAAGGAGGAAAGTAGTGGCCTTCCTGCTCTTCAGGGGTGTAACTGTATTGTTAAATCAGCCGCCCCTTTTCCTCTAGGTATTTGTGAGCAAACCGTGACATTTAGAATTGGGGTGGGGAAAGCTTAGCTTATATGACATACAGTTTTGATTTTTATGTATCAGAAATGAGAAGTGGGGTTTCTGAGCTCATTAATTTACAAGTTCCTACGTAGCATGGCCTAATGCAGCCTTTCAGGAACCCTGCTGGTAGAGTCCCAACACCAAGAGTGACTTCTGGAGAGTTCTAATTTAGAGCTGCATTCATGAGCAGTCCTTTACTACTCAGGAGCGTCTTTGTCCTTTTATTTCAGGAATTAAGCATTGAAGAACAGTCAGAATTTACTCAGGATTTTTATCAAAATGTGGCTGAGAAAATGCAGACTCGTGGAAAAGGTACCACTGTTGGCCACCTGTGGAGAGAAGCCTGGGTGTTGTTAGCCCAGCTGTGGGGTGTGGCTGGGGTGGTGTTATCCAGATGTGTGGGGATGGCTGGGCACTGCCAGGGACTGACAGCTCTCTCTCAGCCACCTCCCTCTCTTGGGTGCCTGGCTGGCTTGCCCACACTGTTCATGGACACCCTGGTAGCCGGTGGCATCCCGGGCAGTGCCTATGAGTTTCACTCTGTGACTTTTCCAGGACAAACAGAGCCTGTGTCTTGATGGGACTACAGGCAGAGGTCAGATGATTAAAACCAGCCCCTTGGGAAGCATTTCTCAATGACTCCCTACTCGCGGTCACCATCTTGAGGTGTCACAGCCTCTATTGCTTGTGAGGTTTGGGGTGGAAAAAACTATGACGTTCACTGGCTTAGAGCTTTAGGTTTTGGGAATGTTTCTTTAGTTTAGCCCCATTGACTTGAGGAAACTTTGTGAGCACGTCTTTCCGAGAGACCTGGCCCTTGTGTGAGGTTTTTTGAGCTGAGGTTTAACACAAACCAGAGACTCAGAGGGGGCGTCTTTCCAGTCTTGGGAATCTCAGGTGCCTGTCGAATGGAGTGACAGGCCGTGGTCAGGCCAGGGCTCATTTATGGGGGTACGTACCTGAGAGCGTCCGCACCTGTGAGCCTCCGCACCTGAGAGCCTCTGCACCTGAGAGCCTCCGCCAGCACAGCTTAAATGACGGGGCCTCCTGTGGAAGGCAGTGTCTGAGGCTGAGCATTTCAAGGGGTTTTTCAATATAGCATGTTTTGGTGTTGAGCATGTTTAATACACTTCTAGCAGAGTCATTCTTTGCTGTGTAGAAAGTACTGTGAAGACCTACTGCCCTTGAGCTGTGCAGCCCTTTTGGTATTTCAGTGCCTCCAGAGAGAGTGGAGAAGATCATGGATCAGATTGAGAAGTACATCATGACCCGTCTGTATAAACACGTGTTCTGTCCAGAAACTACAGATGACGAGAAGAAAGACCTTGCCATTCAGAAGAGGATCAGGTACCTAGTTTGTTTTTTTTTAACTTTTTATTTTATTATTTTGTGTGAGTGTACTGTCATATCAGATCTGACTGGTACAGGAGGAGATTGTCCCTCCTTCCCTGGCAGAGCATCTGGTGGATTCGAACCGTGCGCCTCTGGGATTGTAGTTGCAGCTCCTTACCACTAGGCCACCAGAGCTCCCCTACGTAGTTTGTTTTATAGGAAAGTGAGACATTTGAGTTTCAAGCTGTGGGAGAAAGTAGGTGCTCGGGTGCCTGCCGTCCTCGCCATGTCAGCATCTCCCCGGTGACAGGGAGAAACAGGGAGAAGGGGATGCGGGAGGGGAGGAGGGCTCTCCAATCACCATCTCGCTTACGCAGCCAGCTCCAGAAAGTTTTGGGTAAAACTAGATTTGGTATTTGAGGTTATTTCAAATCTGCACAATTTTCAAGGAACAGGGCTCATTTCTTGTCTCCTTTGCTGATTCTTACCAGCCTGGAAGCTTTAAGTAGCAATTTGTCAGGTCAGCGAAGGTCCTTCTTCCCTTCCCACCAGGGTGTCCGTCATTCAGCCATTCCTCCCATCTGTAGCCACCCACAGCACTGTGTGCATAGCACTTCCCAAAGCACCCCATCTTCCATGCAGAGTCCAGATCAACTGTCTGGAAAACTAGCTGGCGCATGTGGGAACAGACTCAAGGCTGGGATGGTAAGGGTTGTGGAGGAGAGCCTCTAAAGAGCCCAGATGGGGCCTCAGACAGGGCCTTGGTCCTTAGTGTCTCTGTCTCTGCTGGGTTATGCAGAAGTGAGGAGCTATTACTGAGAAGAGGGAGGGGAGAGCCAGGAGGTCAGAATCCAGAAATACCTCTGTGGGCTTTGGACCGAGAAGGACAGTGGAAGCACAAACCCGGATCTAGAGCAGGCCATCGCAGCAGGATCTGGGGAGGGACCTTCAGCTGTGACCGGGACACACTTGGCAATATGTGCAGGCTGCCAGTCAGAGTCTGCAAGGCAGAGGGTCAGCAGGTGCCTCTCAGATCTTCCTTCTCCAGTGCCGGGCGTTTCAGCCTTGGTAGTGTTGTCCCATTTGAAATGTTGAAGTGGTCGGTCCACTGCTCACCCTGTGATGGTGCAAAGAGCCCCTCCCCTTGGGATCCTTGTTGCTCTGGCATTTCAGCAAAGCTCCGGACATAGGGAATGTGGTGAAGGTGCTTTGTCGGAACTGGAGTGCTAATTGCAGGAATCACATACTCGCAGGGAACGTGTGTGGGCCTGGGACGGCCTGGGCAAACGGGAGCCCAGGCTTTGCAGGAAGCAGTAGAAGGAATGACTGCACCCCTTTTCGGGACGCCCCTTTACTCTCACCGCTGCTCTTTTCCTCAGAGCTCTTCACTGGGTCACACCACAGATGCTGTGTGTCCCTGTTAACGAAGAGATCCCGGAAGTGTCCGACATGGTGGTGAAAGCAATCACAGGTGAGCAGGACCCCCGCGTGACACTCAGGGCTGTCCCCTGAGGGGTGATGGTGTGCTGTCGTCATCCCTGAGAGATCTCAACATAGAGAAGCTGGTAACATCCCCCTGGCACGGGGCACGCAGGGAGAGTGCTTTGCCAGGGCTGGAGTCGTGCAGGGATTACATGCTCAGAGCCACAGGTAGCGCCCACTCCCCTTCCCTCTCGGGACCAAGCGTGTTCTCGACGAGTGAATCAAACACAACTGGGTCAATTGCTTGAGGCTGCATTGCCCTCTGTATCTCAGGTAATTGTGAGCTGTTAATCAGAGAGTCGCTTTGGATTACAGTTGAACCTTGAGCAACCTGAGTTTGAACTTCGAGGGCCCAGTTGCACCTGTGCTAAGCTCAAGTGTTGCTGAGCATCTCTGAGTGAGACAGATCTCTCGAGCAGACAAGCAGAACCTCACACTGCGTGCACAGTGGGAAAACCACAGGCCCCAGTTCAGACAGCTGGTGCTCAAGGATCATCTGTAAGGCGTGGGAGACCAGGGGCCCTGAGCCTCACATTAGGCAGGAGCAAACGTGTCTTCTAGTTTGTTAGAGAACAAGCACCCTGGCTTGAAGTGGCCTAACCATTTTAGACAGGCTTGGGCCCCCAGTTGCATTTCTGTTTCTTATTTATAGGAATGATGCAGGAACGGGATAGAAAAGCTAAAAGACAGTAACCTCCCCTAGAGGAGACATCAAAGCCGTCCGGCTTCCCCTGAATTAAGAAGCCTGCGTCGAGACTGCCAAAGCCGTTCATGGGTTGGAGGTGGTCAGTGTCTCAGTGTGGAGGTGGCTGTGCCGTGGGCTCTGTGCACAAGGACCAGACTTAACTCCAGCCCAGGAAGAAACGAGCAGGGCTTTGGAAATGCTCCAAGGGTCACGAGCTGGCCTCTCTCACAGAGCTGCCCTGGGACGGAGTATCTCATGGTCCTTGAGCAGCAGGCGTTGACATGATTCTCACGCTCTCGCACTGTGCTTGTGCTTCTGCTCTTATTCTAAGGGCTTTTAAGTTTTATTTGTGTACTTTTTTTCCCTGTGTGCGTCAGTTGGATCCAACTGGCCCAGGAGGAGATTGCCCATCCTTCTCCAATGGAGCATCCATCTGGTGGATTCGAACTGTGCACTGTCAGGGATTGCAACGTAGCTTCTTGCCGCTAGGGCACCAGTGTTCCTTTTTGTCATTCTATTCTTGTTGTTAAGTGAGGTAGTCTCAAATTTCTCGTGCCAATTCTTGAGGGGGACTCAAACCCCCAGAAGCCGGTGCTGTCGAATCGTTTCTGGCTCCTGGTGACCCTTAATTGGTTTCCAAGGTGATAAATAAATCTTCACAGAAGGAGACTGCTTTCCTTCTCCCGAGGAGCGGCTGGTGGACTTGAACTGCTGACATGGTACACACGACACTCCTAGGCTCCTTAGATTCTAACCTGCCTGACTAAGTCCTCTCATCTTGTTAAAAGCCTTTCTCCTCAACTCTATCTATACTCAGTCCTCTGAATTGACTCCATTGACTCAAGGGACACTCCACCTTGACTTTGAACTCAGGAACCGTCTGTGAAATACATGGCGGGTGGTGGTTTCTCTTAGGAAGTAGGGAGCCTCATAAGGATTTCAGAAGCCAGGCTATTAATCTTCTACTAAGAATTCTCCAGACACTTCAAAAAATTCGAGACTAGTTGGCTTATGCCTAAAGCAACTGATAGAAGCTTATATGAAGAATCCTTTTTCCGAAAGCCGCAGGTCAAACTTTTTGTAAAACCAGAAATTACAAGTATTGAGTCATTGTTTGTTAAAAAAGAACTAAAAATAATGATTTCAGTACACGAGATTCCTAACAGAGTTTGCAAGGTAAAATTTTCTCTCAAAGCATCTTAGACGGAGTCTCAAAGGATAAAAACCAACCACGGGATTGAAGAAAGCTGCCTTGTTCTTTTTGTAAATCCCCACATCTGGCCAGCCCGTGTGGGTAGATCCCATTCCTGTGAGGACCCAGTCTGCTTTGATCTCTTCCTAAAGGAAGATTGTCCGCCTCCACCCGGGGCCGTCAGAGAGGACACCCCTGAGACACACATCTTTGGGAGGTGTGGTTGTTAGGTGCTGTGCAGTGGTGCTGACTCGTGTGTGTACTGTGAGTCAGAACCGACCCGTGCTGACCCCCAGCTCTTCACGGGCAGTTAATCACGCGGGAGGAGACTGCCCCTCCTTCTCCCGCAGAGCAAACTGCGCCTCGGTTCGGACTCGGACTCTGCGCACAGAGCTGCACGCTGCGCTGTTGTCCTCCTCGTTTGCTCTGTCACCGCTGATTATCATTGTCTCTCAGTTGCGTGTTTGATCAGTTTCAGGCTCTAGAAGTTGGCGCAGTTCATCATTTCGTGGTGTGTGGTTGGGGCGTGAGTGAGGCCCAGTCGTATTAACTGCTCTTCTGGGGCATGTGGACATTATCCTCCCACTGGCAGCGCTTTCTTCACACCAGATCTTGAAGTGTTTTTTGTTCCGTTTTCGGTTTTTTGACAATGTATACGATTCCCTTCGTCAGTCATTCCCAGTGTGTGGAATGGCCAGTACCAGTCCACCAGAGGCTGGGCAGCATGCCCTTCATTCCTTCTTGACCGAGACGCGCCGATGAACCCTGACCCCTGTGGGTGTCCCAGTGGTGCAGCGTCCAGTGTCACAGCCCCATGCAAGATGGTGCAGTGCAGCCGACTGACCGGTAGGGGGCGGAGCCCTGGCCTGAGCAGCCGTTCTGTTTCCCCACAATCAGTCCGTTTGTACTGATCAGTGCCGCCGGATTTTGTTTGTAAATAGACCATATAAGGCAGCTTCCATTTCCATTCACATCTGTCTGTGGAGAAAAGACTTTGGAAAAGAACCCTCCTGTTTCCTCTTGGGCCCAGTCTTGGCCCTCGGAGGTGTGCAGTGGGCAGTGGTGGAAGACTGCTCGGCTGGTGGGGTCTGTTAGGGGAGCTGACCATGGGGTTAGAGCTGACCACCGCTCACATCCCCGGGATGGAACCCCCAGGAGAGACAGTCCTGGCTGCCAAGCGCTGAGCTTTGATGGAGGAAGTTCTCCCGAGTTGCGGAGAGCGGAAGCCAGAGCTTCACTGTATGTTTCCCTCAGTGGCAGTGGAGAGAAAGTGTAAAGCCTAGAGTGTTGCGAAGTACATATTTAAAATCTTACTTGCAGACATCCTCTTCAAAGCCCTCAGAGGTCCTGGCACCCCAAAGTTGGTGTTTTAGTAAAATTCAGGAGGCAGTAGGCACTGAAAGCTCTTTCCAGGGAAGGCCTGCATCCAGAAGCTTCATGCCAAGCCTGAGGTGCAGTGCCACCAAGCCTGAATGCCTCCCTAGGCAGGCTGGCTGATGGCCAGTGCCCACACCTGGCCATCTCCAGGCCTTCTGGACTCTGCCCACAGTTCCTGAGGACATTAACTGGTGGTGGTGGCGGGGTGACCTGTCAGTGGAGAGGGGAGGAGTGGACAGCGGATGGCAGATGCTCGAGTGGTTGGGGAATGATGTCACTGTGTCCAGGGACTGGTGGACCTGGCAGGGGATGCTGCCCATCAGGCTGCCCTTTTGCTCGGGTTCTCCTGGGGCACCAGCTCTGTATGCTGGGCTGCCAAGTCCCGAGCAGGAAGGATGGTGGAGAGAGCATGAGGGCTATCTAGGTCTCTGCCCTGTGGGTCAGGATTCCTGCCTCTCTGGCCTTCCCAGTACAGCAAGGAGCGGCCCAGCCAGGCGTGGGGCTGGGGGCCTATCCCCAGCTCCGTCAGCTGGAAGAGTGGAGATCCAGGGAGGGTCAAGCCCTTTGGTTAGTGCTGAGTATCTTCTCTCATCCGTCTCCACATGCACAGTGTCTGCCTAGATGTGGAGCTTTGGGAGCCCTGGTGGCACAGCAGTTAAGTGCTTGGCTGATGCAGGTCCATGACTGAAAGCCATCAGCCATCTTCATTGGGACAGTGATGAGGCCATCTGCTTCCAGAGCGCTGGGAGCCAGGAGACCCTGTGGGTCCATTTACTCTGTCCTGCAGGGTTCCTGATTCAGACTGGCAGCGGGGTCTGGGGGTTCCTCCTTTTTCGGGACTGTTTTCTCAGCAGCAACAGTATTTCTTCTGCACAGACATCATCGAGATGGACTCGAAGCGTGTGCCTCGGGACAAGCTGGCCTGCATCACCAAGTGCAGCAAGCACATCTTCAACGCCATCAAGACCACCAAGAACGAGCCGGCCTCGGCAGATGACTTCCTGCCCACGCTCATCTACATCGTCCTGAAGGGCAACCCACCTCGCCTGCAGTCCAACATCCAGTACATCACCCGCTTCTGCAACCCCAGCCGGCTGATGACCGGGGAGGACGGCTACTACTTCACCAACCTGGTGAGCGTGGGCTGGCATCCAGGGCACACCCGCTACGGCATCATTCTGGGGCTTTGGGGTCACAGACAGGCCAGGAACAGATGACTGCTACTCAGGGCGGAGAATGCATGGAGTGCAGGTGACCTGGCCATACGGTACACCCCTGTACTGTCACAGAGCACGTGTGACCTGGACGTGAGACAGGCCCTTAGAACCATCACAGAGCACACATGACCAGGTCATGAGACACGCCTCTAGATCTGTCACAGAGCACGTGACTGGGTCTAGAACCATCACAGAGCTCATGTGACCAGTTTATGTATACACACTCCTGTACTGTCACAGAGCACACGTGACTAAGACATGAGACACCTCCCCACCCCCAGGATTGACCCTGTCACGGGAGATGTGTGCAGTGGGCGGGGCTACCTGCTCAGAAGGCCGCTTGCTTCCTCTTTGCTGTGCTCTCCACAGCTCCCGGGTGTGCGGAGCAGGAGACCAGAGCAGCGGGCACTGGAGGGCAGCCGTGGGTGTCAGAGGACGTGCTGGCTCCCTGGTGGCACTGTGGCCCGAGGCCCTGCGGCCTTTGCTCCATTGGTGCTGGCTTTTCCAGTCTCCTTGCCTGACTCCGGGTCTGGCAAAAGGAAAAAAATGTGCCACTTGCTAGATCATATGGGAAAGTTTGTCTTCATCTTCGTTTCTCTGTCAGCCTTTCTTCTAGAACTTCTATAGTCCATGTAGGTTCTGTATATAAACACATACACACTCTCAGACACACTCCATCTCCCTCTCTCCCTTCGTCCCCGTCCCTGTCTTTACTCGACCCTGTGCTTAAGCCAGTGCAGTGAAGTGAATCTCAAAATCAAGCCATGTTCCCAGTGCCTAGAGAAGGGGTATTACAGCAGCATGTTGTCAGAGTTTGGAATGTTTGGAAGTGATCAGTACAGAGCCAGAGACGCACAGTGCGCAGGTGCTGTTGGGAAGACGCTTGGACGTGGGCTGTCACAGGCCTCATCATTAAACACAGTGTCTGTGACGTGCAGCAGGACGAGGTCAGCCTGTGCTGACAGTCGCTCCATTCAGACCTGGCGTGCGGCTGAGTGTGTCACACACGGGTGCTGATTAATCCTCGTGATAACCCGGGGCGGTCCTCCCCAACCCCATGCAGATGTGGGTGCCTCAGGGTCACAGCCGTCACTGTGAAGTGACACGGCGAGAGTTAACCCCGCTGGTCGTGTCTGAATGCTGGTCACGTGCCTGCTGTGACTCTGCTAAGTGACGTTCTGTGTCCCCGCAGTGCTGCGCCGTGGCCTTCATTGAGAAACTGGATGCTCAGTCTTTGAATCTCAGCCAGGAGGACTTCGATCGCTATATGAGCGGCCAGACCTCGCCCCGGAAGCAGGAGCCCGAGGCCTGGGCTCCGGACGCCTGTGTGGGGGTCAAGCAGATGTACAAGAACTTGGACCTTCTGTCTCAGCTGAATGAGCGACAGGAGAGGCTCATGTGTGAGGCCAAGAAACTGGAGAAGGACCTCATAGACTGGACGGACGGCATCACCAAGGAGGTTCAAGACATTGTGGAGAAATATCCCCTAGAAATTAAGCCCCCAAACCAGCCTCTAGCAGCTATTGACTCGGAAAACGTGGAGAATGACAAGCTCCCTCCACCCTTGCAGCCTCAGGTGTACGCGGGATGACCGTCCGCTCGCCGGCGTCTCCATGGCCGCCCGTAGCTAGCCTCACTGCAGCCCGCTGAGGGGGACCTAGGGTATCGCTTAATTGCTTCTAAGTGTCAGCAGTTCTAAAGGTACAGTTTTCTGGGGGTTGTTTTGTGGGTTTGGTTTTTTTTGTTTTTGTCTTCTGGCAGAGGAAGGTTAGTAAATAATAAACTTATTTATTTGAGCTCCTCGAATAGATTCATTTGAGACTTGTATGAAACGTAGGTCAGACCACGTGTTCTCCGTGATGTCACGTGTGCCTCCTCCGTCCACACGGCTCAGCCTGGCTGTTGATCGCCTGCTAAAGGGTCAAAGAGATAGCACAGAGGAGGTGTCCCAGGGAACCCAACGGTACCACTGTCCCGCAGTCTGAGATAATTTTGTTATTGTAAAGAAAGAAGATATATTGATAAGTAAATATGTAAAATTGTAAATATGTAAAAAAATAATAATAAGGAATGGTGTCTGTTGTGCATGGCATTTCACGTGGATACTTTGTTGTTTACAATGAAGTCGACTGAATTTTTGCCTGGATCCCTCTGGTTCGGTTTGCCTCCGACAGTGAGCCTGGAAGTGGTTCGGCCATCGCCCACTGAGGTGATCCCCCCCAACTCACGCACTTGAACCATGTGGTCGTCCTGGCTCTGAGGGCCTTGTAGCAAGAGTCTGGGATGTGGTGGAGGCTCAGCGTCACATCTGGAGATGTGCAGAGTTGCTGCTGGGCAGGGCCACTGGGCCTTGCTCTGTGCATCTTTATTTCTCATTCATTCAAAACAGCTGTGAATTCAGAGCTTTGATATGCAGGCCCCGCCCTGGTTGTGGGCTGGAAGACAGTGGTGGCAGCCTGGTGGTGAGACGGAGGGGACATCCAGCAGAACTGTGAAGCGTAGGGGTGGCTTCAGCCTCCAGGGACCCCCAGGACCCCTATAAGCCTAAGTCAGTGTTTCTCAGTCAGCCCTGGTGACGGGAGCCTGAGAACTCTTTGCCCTCGAGCTGAGCTGTGCACTGAGGATGTCCAGCAGCAGCTGGGATCACCCACTCCAGCACATTCGCCCTCCCACCTCCCACTGCACAGAAACCCCGCCAGATGTCCCAGATGATCCCTGGGGCAAGGCCGCTCCCAGTGGAGCTGCTGCTCTTTGTCTAAGCGAGGAGGGGATTACTCTCCTGGTGGCTGACCTGATCTTACCATACAACACGAGTGGATTGTAACTGCCCTCCCACACTGGAGGTACAGCCCCCTGCACTGTGGGCCTTGAGCCTGCTGGCACCTTTCTATGCTGTTAGCATCCCACTCAGTGACCCTGGTGGGGCCCAACCCAAGCTGCAAAATTCTGAGTGACTCTCACAGTGTCACATCACATGGGCAGCAGGCGAGAGCTCCACATTTTCCCAGTTCCCCCCCTATACAGTCACACCTGAGAAAGCTCGACCTGCCAGGGATGGAAGATGAGGCGCAGAAAGTGGCAAGGCCTGAATGTGTTAAAAGCAGAAGGTTCTCAATGCAGTTGCGGGGCGTTGGCCTGCAGGTTTCACTACAGGGTATCACAGGCTTGGGGTGGAGTCACTTTCGGAATAAAATGAAGGCAGATGTTAAACTCCTCTCCTTTTCAGAAATCTACTTAAAACATCACCTAAGCTTATCGCAGCTGATACCAGGAAGCACTAAGCACATGCTGTCACCTTAGACAGCGAGCACAACTCACAGGGAGTGAGACCTGCCTGATTCCAGTGAGGCTTTACTCCCATGCCCCAGGCCTGGAGGGTCTCGTGTCCCTCCCAGGCGAGGCTTTGTCCCCGGGCCCCAGGCCTGGAGGGTTGGCCCAGGAGGCGCCCCCTGCCTTCCCTTTGTTTTCTGTGTACCTTTCAGGTGCTCACCCGGATCTGCGCAGTTGTGTCCTCCTGGGAACACAGCTCTCTCTCAGCTGTTGACAGTGTATTTGTTCAAGTGTGACTGCCCACAGAAACGGGCTCTTCGGGTTCCCTGCACTTTGTTGAAGTTGCTGAACTGATTTTGTCTGTCTCTCCTGTTGGTCAGATTGCTGGGGATGTGGCCTCTTGTCTTATTTACAAAGAGTACCTTTCTCCCAGGCCTGCATCAAACTATGGCCAGAGCTTCCATCTTCTTCAGTGGGGAAGTACTAGTGTTGTGTCTGCTGTAAATGTGATTGGAATAAATCTTTGGAACAGAAATGCTTATCAATAAAAGTTGGTGATTCATCCTTCTCCTAGGACTTGGCTAGTTTGTCTTTAGAAAGTAGTCATTGTTACTAACATCCTCATGTCACCAGAAGCTCCTTTTTCAGCCACAGCCAGCAGCATCACACGTAACAGTAAAACACTGGCAACATTTCAGGTCAGGTGGAGAAGGCAAGAATGTCTGCTGTCAGCGCATTCATGGGGTTTTCCAGGGGCTCCTCAGATAAGAGTAGAGCAAAAAAGGAGCGAGACAGCCAATGTAGAGATCATAAACCTGGAGTAGGTTTTCATTCTGCCACTTGCTAGTTCTTTGGCCTTGGGCAGGTTACTTCAAGTACATCAAACAGGCTCCAGGAAATAGGGGCTTAGGAAACTGACACGAGGCTGTTGCACAAACTGGACGAAGTGCATGTGATTTGTGTAAAAGGCTGTAATCTCTCGAGTTTTAGATACCTCAGTTCTGAACAAGGACAAGCCCCAGCTTCCTGGAGTGGTGAGGATTAAATGACTCGGAACACTGCCTAACAATGGTAAGTGTTGAAGTGTTAGCGATTACTTCTGCATGATTTTTCTAGAAACCTAAGGAATGGCCAGTAAAACTATTACATGAGTTGTATGTGAGGTATCTTCTAATAATGACCAGAGGTGCACAGAACAAAACTTTGCCTGGTCCTGCATCACCTTTGTGACCTTTGCTGTGTTGTTGTTCATTGCTGAGGCTGCTAACAGTCACTGAAATGGTGATACAGTCAGAAACCCCCAGCTTCCCTCGGATCTCATGACCAGCAAGTGAGCAGAGACAGTGGGAACCTTGAGTGCAGTGTTGTGCGCTGTGCTAGGAGCTGTGAGAATCCCTTCATCCCTGAGGAATCTGTACCTGCTCTATCCTGTACCATCCTCACCGATACTGGCCTCGAGGCCACTGCTGCAGCCGCTGTGGCCTCCAGCTTATTCCCAGACTCTCTGCCTTGGCCAGCATGATGTCCTCTTCTGGGCCCTGGGCCCTCCTGGTGACGTGTCAGAGTATGTGAGAGGCCGTCTCACCATCCTCTGTTCTGAGGAGCCTTCTGGCTCTACTTCCTTCGAGACAGATTTGTTTGTCCTGGCCGCCCGCGCACTCTTCAAGTTTCCACCAACACATAATTCAAAGGTATCCATTCTTCAGCCTTCGTTATTCACTGTCCAGCTTCCACATGCCTCTGAGACAACTGAAACAGGATGACTTCTGTCTGTTCACAAGAGAAACACGTAAATCAGCCAGAAATAACAAAGTCCCTGGATGGCACACCTGGTTAACATACTTGTCAGGTAACCCAAAGGTTGGAGGTTCGTGTCCACCCAGAAGCACCTGGGAAGGCAGACCTAGAAGTTGACTTCCTAATATCCACCAGTGACGCCTCTGTGGGTCCCCACAGTTGATCGTGGGGCTTGTGCTCATGGGGTGGCCATGAGCCTGGGGCCAGCTTGAGAACAGCTCTCAGCGATGCTCCTAGGAGTAGTGATGGTCTGTGTGTGCAGGACACGCCTTCACTTCTAGGAGATACGTCCTGCACTGTATCTCCATCCCGCTCATAAGACACGTGGGTCTGGCCAGCTCTGGTGGCCTAGTGGCAGGAAACTGCACTGCAATCCCAGAGGTGTGCGGTTCAAACCCACCAGATGCTCTGCTGAAGAGGGAGGAACAAAAAAAAGACACGTGGGTCTGTGTTCACACAAAGCTTTCTGTTACCCCAAGCCCCAAACCAGACCCACAGCCACCTTAAGGGACAGCACTGAACTGCCCCCTGGTTTCCAAGGCTCTCATCTTCCCCCAGGGAGCGGCTGGGATTCAGGCCCACCTTCTGGCTAGCAGCCAGATAGATGCCTTACTCACAGAGCCTGGTATACCAAGATGTTGACAGCTCTTCTCCATGGACTGCTAGGAGAACAAACAGTTTATCCTGGAGAGGGTGAGACCAGGCTGCTCCTTGGACACAAGGATTCTGAAGCTTTGTCTGACATATTTTGGGCATGTTGCAAGGACCAGTCCGTGGAGAGGGACGTCATATTTGGGAGGTTGTTTCCAACTTAAGGACACAAGACAGCAACATGTCAAATTGGTATGAAATGGAAAGAGACATAACGAACTCTGTTTGGCAGATAAAGGGTTAAAACCACACCTACAAAAGCCTTTTTTTTTAATTAAAAAAATACACTTAAGGACACAAACATAACACAAAATGAAATACTAGCATGGCCAACCACGGATAAAAAAGTCACCTTCCAACAAATTTGTACTTAAATAAATAAAAGGTAAATATTATTAAAAAGAAACCCCAACAAAACCCAGTCACCTCATTGGTGATTGAAGGTACATAGAGAAATTCAATAACAATACAATTTCTAGCTTGTCAGATTGTTGGAGAAAATTTATGAAGGTATTTTATGTTTATGAATGTGCAGACAGCTATACACCATGTAGAAAGGCATAAATTGTCACCTTTCCAGAGAGCAAATCAGGACAGTGTCAAAAAGCCTTGAAAGTCTGTTGCCACAGTAATCACATTTCTAGAACTAGATTAAGAAAATAATCAGAAACACCTTCAAAATTTTGTATCAAGGTTATCGACGACATCACTGTCTCTGCTTCCAGCCAAATAGTAGACAGGCATATACTGTGAGCAATACCCTATGGGAATCGGTCATACCCTAGACAGTTACACAAGAGCAAAAGGGCAGCTTGTGCTCAGGAAGAAAGAACAGAAGCAGGAGAGACAGGACAAATGGAAATGGGAAACACA